TGGTATTTTTTCAGTTGCTTTAAATATTTAATTAGCTTAATGTATGTATCTTACCCCTTCATACCCCTTTTGTTTTCAAATAAACTTATTTTTATCAATAAATATAGCCATAAATAAATAATAACAAAGGTATCTACCTAACTGTAAAAGTTATAGACAGAAAAACAATTTTAATGTTATAATTTTTTATATTTTTCATTTTCTAACAGGATGAATTGGATGATTCATATGACTTAAATCAGGGTTAAGTTTTTCAAAATCACTTATTTCTTTCATTGCTGGTACAGCAATCGCCCATAAGTCAGGGTGCTCTTTTTTGAACGTATTGTACCATTTTTTTACCAATTGATACTGTGAAAAATCAATATTTATCGCTTCAAGGCACATGGTTGCTGTTATTAATTGAAAATCTGCTATAGTTACATATTCTAAAATATAAAAAAAAAATCAATAAACACCAAATTTATTTATTAATTGTCTACCTCCTGCTGCATATTTGGTCCCTAATCTTTCCAGGTAGGTGTTTAAAACATCCAGAGCAATATGTATCTTTTTTAAACCTAATGGGGTTCTTTCATACGCAAAAAATATAGGAGCCATCTAAAAAATACTCTCTAAATAAAATTTTCATGTTCTAACTATACTTATTAATTGGTATAAGATTGGAATTAAGTTTGTTTAGTATACATATTATTACTTACAACATATTCTGATATATTTCTGTAATAAGTAGAGAGATTGAAACAAAGGCGATGGTTAATAATGGCCCTTTGTTTTAATTCTTTTGGATATAGTCGATCGTCTTTGCCAAATTTTTCTGCCACATATTGCAAAATTGCGTTACTGAAAGTATTATTCATTTAGTTATTACTTACATTTGTAATTTTCATTTTCTTTTTTATTGTCAGGTATACTTAGGTACCTTTCACTTAAATAAAAACCGTCATCGTCGAGTACAGGAATTTCTTTTTGGGGGTTCATCTAGACAAGGAATTTGTTATTTTTATACTTTTGTTAATTTTACATTTCTGTTACTACCTTTGCGTACTCTTCAGTCATATGTTCGCCTTTTATAAAATCAACATTGACTAATTTATAGTCCACATTAAGGGCTTTTAGGGCCATTCTTACTGCTATAGATGGGGGCCCATCTGATACTGCATGCAATACAAGTGGCATTTTCTACAAAATGGAATTGAATTTTGTTTAAATTTATGTTAATCTTAGTTTAACTGAAATATCATTAATATTACAAAAGGACAAGACTTTTAATATTAGAAACGACTAATTTTTACATGCTTTTGGATTATTTAATTATTATTAATCAATTAATTCTTCCTTAATTAAGATAACAAGCTCTAATCATTGCAGACACTATTTTCCTTAATTTTTGAAACTAAATTGGCGCAATGATAAGTTTTTAAAAATATAAATTAACTGGGCATATAAATGTGATGATTTATATTATTTTAAGAAGTCCTTCATACATTTATCTAATTACTGCAAGGCTAAATTTAGTTTCTGTTTATAGTGGCAGGTCTACAATGTGTAGTTGTAGATTAGTACATCTTTGATCTTTATAAAAAAATGTGAAAATATGCTTTCTAAAAATATTAAAATCAAGATACTTACATTAAATTCACGAATACCTTAATACGTGTCCAGCTATACAATTTTATGAACTTTATTGGATTGGCCACGTCTCAGAAACCAGAAACAAAACGACTTTCACCTTCATCAAGAAAAATACATTGACAAGAAGAGTGGGTAGATGATTTATTATTATTATTACCGTCTACATTAACTTTAAAATTCCTATCTGTAGCTGCAGAGGCAGATTTTTTTTTATTTGATAAACCTTTTTTATCTATTGAGGTTTATAGCATTTGTATGTAATTATAACAAAAAAATAAATATTAACTTATGAACAAAGAATTCCTTATTTTGTTTTTATATACTTACTAGCTTTTACCCGTGGCTTTGCTCTCAATACGTGTCAAAAATCATCAGGGACCACATAAAAATTATTTTTTTTTTATCCCTCGGGAACAGTATTTTTTTTCTGGATGAGAGGTACCCTATATCCTTTTTTGTACCCCTGGCAGTATGTGTTTAAAGTTTTATGACGATCAGTTGAATAGTTAAGGTCTGAAATAGTAACAAACAAACTAACAAACAAAACACATTTAAATTTTTAATATTAGTTAGAATTTAGTTAAGATTTAATTTAACAAAAATAACCCTCTCCTTTAATATTTCGATACAAAGTTGTGAGTGATAAAAATCATTTTATTGCCTATTATTTATTTGAAGAATAACTAATATAAATAATGCTGATGTAATTTTTATCCTAATTAATTTATTAGACTAAAAAGACTGCCAATTACCTCTAATACACTACAAATAAAAGAACGAATCATCTAGGTATCTAGTAGCTGCAAGTTGACTATTTACATATACACAATTTATACTTTGTTGTATAATTGTTTTGTGATTACTTCTACATGCAACAAAAAGGAAGCGCTCCAAGTTTAATCATCATTAATTACTTGATAACTGCTGCACATATTTAATTGTAATTACATACGGAATCTAATATTATACCTAACATTCTATTAGTTTTTGAAACAACCTGTATATATTTAAATAAATTAATTATTATAATCCAACAGTATTTGTTACAATTGACTTTGACGAAAAATACAAAGATATAATACAATTTTAAAACTTATTCACTATTCTATCTCGTTACGTTTTGATGTGATATCTAAGAATTGCTTCATAAATTCAGTTATCTTTATAACAACACAAATAATTGTTGTGGTCAGTCATCGGTAATCTGTCTGGTTTCCTATTTTCTTTGTGGGTGTGGGAATTGTAAATAAGGTCAGAACGACCTACTTTCAGAAAATATAATTTTCTATCTCCTTGTCAAAAATGACTTTCTATTTTCAGTTTTTCAGGTCTACAGTTGTGTCATTATTACATACTATATTAGTAATGTTTAGACATAGAATTAACGGCGTTGTCAAAGCTTCAAATA